CCGACAAACAGAGCCAACAAACAAAAGACGAACGACATCTGACGAGGTACGACGACGACACAAGCCCCCTCATTTGAACATCACCCTGCCACCGGACACAAAACAACACCACTCCGAGACTTCATTTTTAAAGCAGACGAGCCCGCCCCCCCGCACGGGCGCTGACGCCCGCAGCGACGACCGCGTCAGCGACGACGACGACGACGGCGACAAGGAGGACGACGACAACAACAACGACAACGACGGCGACAGCAACAACCGACGACTGGCGACCAAAAGGAACCGAACGACCACGCACACCAACGACAAGAAAAGCCGCCCTAATTCTGACATCCCCACGCCTCGGGCTGAAAACCAAAACCGCGCTGAAATTTCAATTTTAGGGCAGACGCGCCCGTCGCAAAAACAGCTGATGACGCGACGACGGCGACGGCGACGTCGACGACGACGAGGACATCGCGAACAACCGACAACGACAACAACGAAAGCACCGACGGCAAACGACGACCCGCGACCCCCGAATAACAAACAGCATCCCCGAAGACGACGACGACGACAACGACGCAAGCCGCCACAATTGGTTCCAACCCTGGCGCCTCGAGTTTATTACCAAAGCGAGCTCATGATTTCACATCCAAGGTGAACGCACCCGTCCACGAGTAATCCGCTGACAACGACAGCGACGACGACGACAAGGACGGAAACTACAACAACAAGCACAACGACGACTCCGCAATCAACAAGAACAACCGACGACTGGCGACCAAGAGAAGGCACACGAACATCGACGACAACCCCGGCGCAATCCGACCTGATTTTGCCATCACCGTGCCTCGGGCTGACAACCAAAACCACTCCGATATTTCAATTTTAGGGCAGACGCACCCGTCCGCGAATACAGCTGATGACGCGACGACGGCGGTAGCGACGACGACGACGAATAAGACAACGCGAACAACCGACAACCACAACAACAAACGCAACGTCGACAAACGACGGGTCGCACCCCACGGAAAACAAACGAGTATCGACGACGACGACGACAACGACGCAAGCCGCCCAAAATTTGTTCACATCATCGTGCCTCGGGTCCATTACCAGTCTCTCTCTCTCTCTCTCTCTCTATCTCTCTTTCTCTCTCTCTCTCTCTCTCTCTCTCTCTCTCATCCCACCTTCAATTCCAGAGAGCTTCAGTATTCCGCGCCTGCAGAAATTCAGGGTTTCGCTCCGAACCAAATTCCGGGGTTTGGCAAAGAATTCTGGGTTTCAATAGGAATTCCGGGTTTCGCAAATCCGCTCTGACCTGGGTTTCAACTCAAAAAATACGGGTTTGGACCGAACTCCCGGGTCGAATTCTCGACCTCCTCCTCACCCTCCTCATCCTCCTCCTGCTCCTCCTCCTCCTCCTCCTCCTCCTCCTCCTCCTCATCATCATCATCCTCATCCTCATCATCATCATCATCATCATCATCATCAGCAGCAGCAGCAGCATCATCATCATCATCATCATCATCATCATAATCATGATCATCATCAGCAGCAGCAACAGCATCATCATCATCATCAGCATCCTCATCGTCGACATCATCACCATCAGCATCAGCATCATCATCACCGTCGTCATTATCATCCTCATCCTCATCCTCATCATCATCATCATCATCAGCAACTCCATCATAAGCAGCACCAGCATCATCATCATCATCATCATCATCATCATCATCATCATCATCATCATCATCATCACCATTATCACCATCAGCATCAGCAGCATCAGCATCATGTTCATCATCATCATCATCAGCAGCATAAGCATCATCCGCATCAGCATCATCATCAGCAGGATCATCATCATCGTCATCATCATCGGTATCATCATCATCATAATCGTCATGATCAACATCAACGTCATCATCATCATCATCATCATCATCATCATCATCATCATCATCATCATCATCATCCGCCTCTGCCTCCTCTCTCCTCCTCCTCCTCCTGCTTCCTCCTCCGCCTCCTCCTCCTCCTCCTCTTCTTCCTCCTCCTCCTCTTCCTCCTCCTCCTCATGCTCCTCCTCCTCGTCCTGTTCCTCCTCCCCCATCCCCCTCCTCCTCCTCGTCTTCCTCCTCCTCCTCCTCCTCCTCCTCCTCCTCCTGCTCCTCCTCTTCCTTCCCCTCCCCCTCCCCCTCCCCATCCCCCATCCTCCTCCTCCTCCTCCTCATCATCCACCTCCTCACCACCACCACCATCACAACCACCACCATGATACTTGTCACCATCATCATCATCATCATCATCATCATCACCACCACCACCACCACCACCACCATCATCATCATCATCATCATCATCATCAGCGTCACCATCATCATCATCATCAGCATCATCATCATCAGCAGCATCATCATCATCAGCATCATCATCATCAGCATTAGCATCAGCATCAGCATCATCATCATCATCATCATCACCATCAAGATTATCACCTTCCTCATCATCAGCATCATCATCGACATCCTCATCATCAGCAGCAGCATCATCGTCATCACCACCACCATCACCATCATCATCATCATCATCATCATCAGCAGCAGCAGCATCATCATCATCAACAGCATCACAAGCATCAGCATCAACAACCGAATCACCGTCATCACCGTCATCAGCAGCACCGTCGTCATCATCAGCATCATCAGCATCATCAGCAGCACTAGTATCGTCCGCATGAGCATCATCATCATCATCAGCAGCAGCAGCATCAGCATCGACCTCATCATCAGCACCATGATCAGCATCATTATCCTCATCAGCATCAGCATCATCATCAGCATCATTGTCATCACCATCATCATCATCATCATCATCATCATCATCATCATCATCATCATCAGCATCATCACCATCGTCATCATTAGAGTCATCATCAGCATGATCATACCGTCATCATCATCGTCATCATCGTCACCGTCAGCACCGTCATCAATATCATCATCATCATCATCATCATCAACATCATCATCATCATCATCATCGTCGTCATCATCGTCATCATCATCAGCATCAGCATCATCATCAGCATCAGCAGCAGCGGCAGCGGCATCATCATCAGCATCATCATCATACCACCCACCACCACAACCAACACCACCACCACAATCCACCATCAGCATCATCAGCATCATCGTCGGCATCATCATCAGCAGCATCATCAGCATCATCATAATCGTCATCGCCACCATCATCATCAGCAGCAGCATCATCATCTTCGTCAACATCATCATGATCATCATGATCATCAGCATCAACATCATCAGCCGCATCAGCAGCAACAGCATCATCATCATATTCGGCATCATCATCATCATCACCAACAACCCCATCACCATCAAGATCATCACCTTCCTAATCGTCGTCAGCGTCGTCCTCATCATCACCATCGTCATCATCAGCATCATCATCATCATCATCGCCATTCACCATCATCATCAGCAGCATAATCACGAGCATCGTCAGCATCATCACCACCACCATCATCGTCTTCATCACCATCAGCATCATGATCAGCATCATCGTCGTCGTCATCATCATCGTCATCATCATCAGCATCATCATCCCCCCGCATCCCCCTCCTCCTCACATGCCTCCTCCTCCTCCTCCGCCTCCGCCTCATCCACCTCCTCTTCTATTCTTCACTTTCTTCATCCTACTCCTACTGCTCCTCCTCGTTCTCCTCCTCCTTTTCCTCCTCCGCCTCCTCATCGTACTCTTCCTACTCTTCATCATCATCATCATCCTCCTGCTCCTCCTCATCCTCCTCCTCCCTTTCATCCTCCTCCTCCTCCGCCTCCTCCTCTTCCTCTTCCTCCTCCTCCTCACCCCTCCTCCTCTTCCTCCTCCGCCGCCTCCTCCGCCTCCTCCTCCTCCTCTTCCTCCGCTTCCTCCTCTTCCTCGTCCTCCTTCTCCTCCTCCTGATCCTCCTCTCCTCCGCCTCCTCCTCCTCCTCTTACCCTCCTCCCCTCTCCCTCTCCTCCTCCTCCTTCTCCTCCTCCGCATCCTCCGCATCCTCCGCGTCCCTCCGCTCCTCCTCCTCCTCCCTCCTTCCTCCTCCTCCTCCTCCTCCTCCTCCTCCTCCTCCCTCCTTCTCGTCTTCCTCCTCCTCCTCCTCTTCCTCCTCCTCCTCCTCTTCGTCCTCCTCTTCCTCCTCCTCGCCCTCCTTCTCCTCCTCCTTCTCCTCCTCCACCTCCGCCTCCGCCTCCGCGTCCGCCTCCGCCTCTTCCGCCTCGTCCTCCTGCTCGTTCATCCTCACTCGTATTTCTTCCCCACCTCCTGTTCTGTCTTTCTTTGAATGAACTGATCGAGTCGTCGAGGTAGATGTCTACTGCGACTATGGGGGCAAACTGCGTCACGCCACTGGTGTCAAATATTGCCGTAATCAACCCCGCGCTTGCTGATCATGTCGCTCTCGTTCCACCGTCTGACAAGATCACGATGTTGCTGCCTGGTGGGATATGCAAGTCACGCTCATCCCTCGAGGTGCTTCTAACGACGCCGATGACGTGATTGTAAAATTGAAATGCCACTGCATTCTTTCTTGTGAGAGAGCGTGCCCGTGGTACACTCCAGGGGGTGGAGCCTAGCTACCCCCCCGTCCCCCCTTGGACGCCCCCTGATGGAATCCCCCCCTCCTCCTCCTCCTCCTCCTCCTCCTCCTCCTTCCCCGCCCCTCGACAGCTACCCCCTCCTCCTCCGATCGCGCCCTGGAAGCTACCCCCCCCCTTCCGTTCCAAAGGGGATGGGCCGCTTAGCTACCCCTCCCCCCTGGAACTCCCTGTCAGAAGCCCTCCCCCCTACATGTTATCCGACCCTCGGAAGCAAGCCCGCCCCGCCCCCCCTCCCCTGTCGCGCTCCAGAAACTACCCCCCCTCCCCCCTACAATGGGGGGGGCTCAGCTACTCCCCCCCCGTCCCCCTTTTGGCTAAAGGGAGCCGGGGGGGGGCGGGCTCCTGCGCCAGCAGGTTGCACAGGCGCTCGCTCACGAACTCGGCGGCCAGGGAGCCTCCGTGCCTTCCCCGGGGGCATTCGGGCAGAGAGGAGGAGGCGGGACGAAGGGGGGAGCTGAAGGACGGGGAGGAGGAGGAGGAGGAGGAGGAGGAGGAGCAAGAGGATCGGTGTAAACCCAAGACTTATCAACCATGTTCCCTCTTCATTCATAGGAAACAGCATCGTAAATCCATGGGGCCTGGCGGCCTGGTGTCCACTCACCCAGGGGAACAAACCTAGCTGCGCATGCTTGTCGCTGCGGCAGGGTTGGACATGGATCAGGGCCGGCACCCTAAGCACCACGCCGTCTCGTCTGGGCAGCGAGTCATCGGCGACGAGGTCACCTCACTGTTCCTTGACAAACTTGTTTGATTTGGTGTATGTCACGTGTGTGGCTGTCACATGATCTATATTATCCCGCTCCTCCTGCTCCTCCTCCTCCTCCTCCTCCTCCCTCCTCCTCCTTCCTCCTCCTCCTCCTCCTCCTCCTCATCATCATCATCAGCAGCATTTCAGCATCATCATCATCATCATCATCATCATCATCATCAGCATCATCAGCATCATCAGCATCATCATCATCATCATCATCATCATCATCATCATCATCATCATCCGCAGCAGCATCAGCATCATCATCATCAGCATCATCATCCTCATCCTAATCACCATCATCATCATCATCATCATCATCATCATCATCATCATCATTATCATCATAAGCAGAATCCTGATCAGCATCAGCATCATTATCAGCATCATCAAAATCATCGTCATCGTCATCGTCATCATCATCATCAGCATCATCCTCAGCATCAGCATCATCATCAGCATCAGCATCATCATCATCATCATCATCATCATCATCATCATCATCATCATGATCATCATCAGCATCAGCCTCATCAGCATCATCAGCAGCAGCATCATCCTAATCCTCGTCCTCATCCTCATCAACATGCTCATCCTCATCCTCATTCTCATCCTCCATCTCCATCTCCTCGTCATCATCATCACCACCATCACCACCACCACCATATCGTCATCATCAGCATCATCATCAGCAGCAGCAGCATAATCATCATCATCATCGCTCATGATCATCATCATCATCATCATCATCATCATCATCATCATCACCATCATCATCGTCATAATCAGCATCATCATCATCATCATCATCATCATCATCGTCATCATCATCAGCATCATCATCATCATCATCATCATCACCATCATCATCAGTATGATCATTATTATCATCATCATCATCATCCTCATCCTCATGAGCATCAGCACCCTCATCAGCATCAGCATCATCATCAGCAGCATCATCAGCATCATCATCATCAGCAGCATCATCCTCATATGTATCAGCATCAGCATCATCATCATCAGCATCATATTTGACGTCGTCATCATTATCATCATCCGCATCATCGTCGTCCTCATCCTCATCCTCATAATAATCAGCATCATGATCAGCACCATCATCATCATCATCACCATCATCACTATCATCATCAGCAGCATCAGTATCCTCATCAGCATCATCACCATCATCAGCATTAGCATCATCATCATAATCAGCACCATCATTCTCCACATCATCAGCATCGGCATGATAAGCATCATCATTATCATAGGCATTGTCATCGTCAGCATTACCATCGTCATCATCATCATCATCATCATCATCATCATCATCATCATCATCATCATCATCATAATCCGCCTCCTACTCCTCTTCCTCCCCAGCTTCCTCGCTACTGCGTTTGCTCCTCCCTGCTCCTCCCCGGTTCCTGCTCGCTCACTCCAGACGAGGGCCGCTGCCCCCCCTCAGCCGGGGCGCTCCGCCGACGCGAATGCGGGGGCCACGGCCGGCGCGCGCGCCCGTCGAAGACGCCGAAGTAAGACATGCTGCCCAGTGCCTCGCCGGCGGACACCACCCCCCCGCCCCTCCCCCGAGGATGAGGAGGAGGGGGAGGAGGAGGACGCGGACGAGGAGGGAGGAGGAGGAGAAACGAGAAGAAAATACGGAGTAGGAGCCCTGGGGGCGCAAAGGAGCCATGGGAGCTCCGGGGCACACACCCACACCCACACACACACCCACACACACACCCACACACACACACACACACACACACACACACGCGCACCCAGCACACCGTCCCCTGTTCCACGGCGGGCGAGAGCATCAGCAGACATCAGGTCACCTGGCATCGCGCATCGCGCCCCACGACCAAGCGGCTTCCAGATAGCCGCGGTCCCCTGCCAGCTGGTCCAGAAACATGCACTGGCCACTGATCAGAGCTTCCACCCTGTCTGCTCCCCGCTCTCGGACGCACGCCACAGCTCTGCGCTCAGCCACGCGAAGTGGGCGAGCATCTCGCGCGTCGCCAGGCGAGCCCCTAGTGGGCTGTGTTTCGCGAAAGCACTGGAATATGGCCATGGGGGTGACCGCGGACGGCTCCACCCACAGAGCCCGAGCGAGGTTCACCCTCAGGATGAATCGAGCCTCCTGCCCGTGCTCGAGCTTCCGACAGCCCGCCCCCTCGAACAATGCCACGAGAGGGACGGGAGCAGCGGGATGAGAAGGGTCGCTGAGAGCCACCAGGAGGCGATGCGACGCCGTCTCGGGCTGCCCTGATCTCTGGAGGGACCCCCGCAGACACGGCAACGGCAGCTCTAAAATGGACTCTGGGGTGCTGCTCGGGCGAGGCCCGCTTCCGACGCAGCTGCCGACCCCGTCGGGCATAGCCAGCCCGGGGGAGAGGCGGCGGCGCTAAGGGCGGTGGCAGAGGTGGACGAGCGCCCACAGGCGCCCTCTTCCCCTGCGCCGCCGCCAACGCCGACGCGGGCGTCGGAGCGCGGCTCTGGATGCGCTGCGGCGAGGGGAAGTGACTGCGCCAGCATCGCCTGCAGGTCCCCCCCGAGGGATGCCCACGCGCGCCGCCCCGTCCAAGAACAGGCGAGACGCCTCGACGCGGGCACCCAGCGTGCTCGGGCACGCGCCCAGAGGCGGAGCCGCCGCCTGGGCCGCATTCGCGGCCATCAGCCGCTGGATCTCCAACTGGACCCCTGCGCGGGTCGTAGACACGCCCTCGTCCAGAGCCGCGGCGATCGCCCCTCCCGCACGGGGGCGGGCCTCGCTCGTCCAGGGCTTCGGCGCGGCGCCAAGATGGGCCCGCGGCGGTGGGGGAGGTGCCGCTGGCAGCGGCATCGCTGGCACGGGGAGGGGGGGGGCTCCTCGACGTCGGCGTCGTCTCCCCCCTCGCCCGCTGCGAACTCAACCGCGGACTGGTAGGGCGCCGCTCTCTCCAGGCCAGCGGGCGTCCCCTCCCCGTCCAGGGGCGCTTCGCCGTGGGTCGCGACGTCGCCGTCGCGCAGGCCGACGACGCCCGAAGGACGCGGTCGGTACGCGCGGCCACGGGCAGCTTCAGCTCGGAGACCTCTTGGTCGACCACCAGCATTGAAGCGGTCGTGCACAGCGGGCGAGACGCCGCGCCGAGCAAGGGCACGCTGACCACTTCGAAGGGGCCGAGCAGCCCGCTGAACCCCTCCGCCTCCGCCAAACTGAGAAGTTCGGCTGGGCGAATAGACCCAGGCAGTGCCAGCAAGATGACCCCAGGCCGAGTGGTCAAGGGGATCGTGGCGTAACTCACCTCGCCCTCGTCCAGCCGCCAGCGGTCGTAACCCGTCGCTGCCGGGGACGAGAACGAGTGAAGGTCGGGCCAAAACGGCCCGTCGGGGATGGCGAGTCCCCCCGACGCGGATGCGTCATCCGACATGGCTGTTGGCTGACTGGCGGCGCACAAGCCCCCAGCCGAGCCCAGCCGAGATGAGGAGCAGCGACGGAGCCTCGTGCCAAGGCCCGCGCTCGCTCCTCAGCCTGCGCGCCTGGGCCGTACCAAGGCGCGCTGTGGGCCGCGACCGAACCCTCCTGGGGCTGCAATCGCCGCCCGTGTGCGAGGGTGCTCTGACGACCCCCACCAGCGGGCCACCAGAGCCGACGCAGCAGCCTCCGCAGAGACTGCAGGCGGCAGTGGTCGCCAGCAGGGCCACCACCGACGAGGGCTGCAGAGTTACCCCGCTGCTCAGGTCCACCGCCAACACCAAGCAGACGGTGGGGTAGGCCGCACCTGCAGCGGCGGGAGGGCAATACCCTCCGCCGCTCAGGTCGGCCTGAGCAGAACACCAGACCCCGCGGAGGAGCCGTCGTCGTCCGCGAGAGGTGCCAGAGGGAGGCCAGCGAGCCATTCGTAGGGCGCGGCTCCCACCCTCGATGGTGGCCTTGTCAAGCGCCTGCTTGAAGCGCCCGCCCGGGGATGCCTCGCGAGGAGTCCGGGCCCAACCAGCTACCGACGACCACGACGCGCGCGCAGGCAGAGACGAAAAGAGAGAGCAGAAATCATCATCATCATCATCATCATCATCATCATCATCATCATCATCATCATCATCATCAGCATCGCCACCACCACCACCACCATCATCATCATCATCATCATCATCATCATCATCATCAGCATCATCATCATCATCATCATCATCATCATCATCATCATCATCATCATCATCACCATCAACATCATCATCATCATCATCATCGTCGTCGTCGTCATCGTCGTCGTCATCGTCATCGTCATTACCATCATCATCAGCAGCAGCATCAGCATCAGCATCAGCATCATCATCATCCTCAGTATGATCATTCTCATCATCATCATCATCATCACCACCATCATCATCGTCGCCTTCGTCATCATCCGAATCACCCTCAACATCGGAATCATCATCGTCATCGTCATCATCATCATCGTCGTCATCATCATCATCATCATCATCATCACAATCGTCGTCATCATCGTCGTCAGCGTCATCAGCATCATCATGGTCGGCGTCGGCGTCGGCTTCATCAGGCCCATGCTCGGCATCATCAGCATGATCGGCATCATCACCACCAATCAGTATGCTCGTCATCATCAGCATCAGCATCATCATCAGCATCATCATTACTAGCATCGTCGTCGTGATATGCATCAGCATCATCATAATCAGCATCCGCATCATCATCATCATCATCATCATCATCATCATCATCATCGTCATCATCGTCAGCATCATCATCATCATCAGCATCATCATCATCGTCATCATCACCATCATCATCAGGATCATCAGCAGCATCGTCATCAGCATCAGCATCATCATCGTCATCATCATCAGCATCAGCATTATCATCATTAGCATAATTATCATCAGCAGAAGCAGCATCAGCATCGTCAGCATCAAGATCATCATCAGCACCATCATCATCATAATCATCAGCATCATGGTCGTCATCATCATCAGCATCATCAGCAACGTCAGCATCAGCCTCAGCATCATCATCATCATGATCGTTGTCCTCATTATTAGCATCAGCATCAGCATCAGCATCAGCATCATCATCATCGCCACCTTCGTCATCATCATAATCATCCTCAGCATCGGCATCATCATTATCAGCAGCAGCATCAGCATAAGCATCAGCATCTTCGTCAGCACCATCAGCATCATGATCGTCATCGGCAACATCATCGGCATCATCAGCATCAGCAGCAGCAGCCTCTTCAGCATGAGCACAGTTGTCATCATCATCATAACCAACATCATCAGAAGCATCATCAACATCAGCAGCAGCATCATCGGCGTCGGCATCTTCACCATTGCCATCACCAACAACAGCATCATCATCATCATCAAAATTAACATCATCATCATCATCATCATCATCATCATCATCATCATCATCATCCGCATCAGCAGCATCATCCTCATCACCAACATCGTATTCATCTGCATCAGAATCGTCAACCTCATTGTGATCACCATGAAGACCCTCCTCATCAGCATCAGCATCACCATCATCAGCATCACCACATCCTCATCATCCTCAACATCATCATCACCATCGTAGCCGTCGTCGTCGTCGTCGTCAGGAACATCAGCATCCGCATCCTCATCGGCAGTAGCAGCATCATCGGCGGTATCATCACCAGCAGCAACAGCATCAGCAACACCATAAGCTTCATCATCACAACCCTCAACATCAGCATCATCAGAAACGGCAGCACCATCACCATCATCATGATAATCATCAGCCGCATCACCAACATCAATCAGCAACAGTCTTATCAGCATCATCAGCATCATCAGCAGCATCGTCGTCATCTTCGTCATCAAAATAACCATCCTCGACATCGTCAGCATCCTGATCATCATCACCATCATCAGCAGCATTATCATCATCGTCGCTGTCGTCGTCAGCAGCAGCATCAGCAGCATCATGATCGTCACCAGCAGCATCATCATCAGCATCAGCATCAGCAGCAGCAGACTAGCAGACTCCCCACCACGAGCACCATCATCAGCGTCATCATCATCAGCGTCAGCATCATCGCCGTCGTCAGCATCATCAGCATCATCAGCATCAGCATCCTCGTCATCATTAGCATCATCGTCATCTTCGTCATCGCCACCATCATCCTCATCAGCGTCATAATCGTCATCAGCTGCATCATCGTTTCGATCATCATCAACAGCCTCGTCAGCCTCATCATCAGCACCAGCATCGCCATCACATCCTCCTCATCATCATCAGCATCATCAGCCTTAACATCATCGACCGTGTCATCAGCATCATCACCTTCAGCAGTCAGCAGCAGCATCAGCCTCAACATCATCAGCAGCAGCATCATAGTCAGAATCCATAGCATCATCAGAGAAACCATCAGCATCAGCAACAGCATCAGCAGCTTCGTCACCAACCTCCTCGTCAGCATCATCATGAGCAGCAGCAGCAGCTGCATCAGCATCAGCATCAGTATCAGCATCAGCACCAGCCTAATCATCATCATCATCATCATCATCATCATCATCATCATCATCATCATCATGATCATCATCATCATCAGCATCATCATCATCATCATCATCATCGTCAGCAGCACCATCATCACCATCATCGTCAGCATCATCGGCATAATCGTCATCATCAGCAGTATTATCATCATCAGCAGCAACATCATCATCAACATCATCATCACAGTCACCATCATCATGAGCAGCAGCAGCATCAGCATCAATCAGCATCATCACCGTACCCATCAGAATCATCATCACCGTCAGCATCATCATCATCATCATCATCAGCAGTAACATCATCATCATCATCAGCATAATCCCCATCATCATAATCGTCTTCATCATCAGCACCATCATCAGCATCATCATCAGCATCAGCGTCGCCACAATCATCATCACCAGCAATCATAATCATAACCATCAGCCACACCACCACCATTATCATCATCAGCATCATCAGCATCATCATCAGCATCAACATCGTCACGATTAGGCTCATCATCCTCATCAGCATCACCACTATCATCATCAGCAGCATCAATGCCATCACCATCAGCATCCTCGTCATCATCATCATCGTCATCGTCATGTTCGTCATCAGCACCATCATCATCATCAGCATCATCGTCATGGTCGTCGTCAGCATCAGCATCATGATCGTGATCAGCAGCATCGTCAGCATCCTCCGCATCATCAACAGCAGCAGCAGCCTCCTCATCACGAGAATCATCATCATCATCATCATCATCATCATCATCATCACCATCATCGTGATCAACATCATCATCATCATCATCATCATCATCATCATCAGCATCATCATCCTTCTGAGCATCATCAACATCATCCCCATCCTCACCGTCATCACCATCATCGTCATCACATCCTCATCATTATCAGCCTCAACATCATCCACCTTGTCATCATGATCACCAAAAACATCATCATCATCATCATCAGCATCATCATCATCATCATCATCATCATGATCAGCATCATCAATCATCAGCATCATCATCATCAGTTTCATCAGTTTCATCAGTTTCATCAGTTTCATCAGTTTCATCATCATCATCATCATCAGCATCATCATCATCATCATCATCATCATCATCATCATCATCATCATCATCATCATCATCATCATTATCAGCATCATCATCGTCGTCAAAAGCAACAGCGGCAGCACAAACATCATCAGCAGTGACAACATCACCATAGTCAGCATCGAAAGCATCATCAGCGACACCATCAGCGTCAGCAACAGCATCAGCAACAGCATCAGCATCATCACTAGAGTCCTCATCATCAGCATCATCATTATCAGCAGCATCAGCATGGGCATCAGCAACAGCATCAGCATCAGCAGCATCATCATTAGCAACATCATCATCACTGTAGCAACAGCATCAGCATCATCAAACAGTAGCATCAACATCGTTATAATCATCATCATAGTCGTCGTCGTAGTCACCAGCATCATCATAATTAGTATGATTGTCTGTATCATCATCGTGATCATCATCAGCATCATCATCATCATCATGATCATCATCATCATCATCATCATCACCGTCGTCGTCAGCATCATCAGCATCATCATCAGCATCACCATCATCATTCATCATCATCATCATCATCATCATCATCATCATCATCATCATCATCATCATCATCATCATCGTCATCATCAACATCATCATATCCTCTCGTCCGCCCTTCTCCTCCTCCTCCTCCTCCTCCTCCTCTTCCTCCTAGTGCGCGCCTCCGCGGCGCCAGCCAGCGCGGGCGGGAACGGGGAGCTCGTCCTGTGCGGCCAAAGCGCGCGAGGACGGGGCAACCCTTCGCGCATCCCTATTGCCCCGCAAGGGCACATCGTTGGCCCCATGAGGCGCCTCGGTGCACGAGGAGCGCTGGCGGAACAGCAATCGAAGGACCTGAGCATCAGCGAGCCCCCTTCCCAACCCGAAGCGTTCCCTACTCCAGCGTGTCGGCTGCAGTCACGAAGCATCTGACCACCCTCCACCGCTAGGTCCTGGCGCGGAACCCTGAGCGGCGGCGATCTTCCAGGCGACAGGCCGACCGTTCCCACCGGACTCCAGCGGCTGTGGCGATTGTCAAACACTTCTTAGCAAGAGGGGAGACTCGCAAGGATTAGGGTGAACGAGGTGGGGACCGGATCAGGGGGGAAGCATTGACCCAGAAACGAAGACGGGGCCCGTCGCTGTTCCACGCGCCTTGACCCATGTTTCGTGTCTTTGAAATTGGGGGTCGGCGCATGCCCCGCAAGGCCAGCCAGCCCCGCCTCTGGACGTTGCCTCCAAATGGCGCCAGTGACGAAGAGAGGGGCCAGGCAGGAACGGCGCCGACACCGCTCTGCGTGCACGCGGGAAGCGCCTCCTGCGCAGGACGGCGGATTCGAAAGCTTGTGCCCTTTTGTTTCTTCCACGAGGGGGGGGGGGCTCATTGTGAGGGAAGGATCACAAAGCCAACCCTGCCAGTGATCCGTAGGGTGGAGACGATAGATGTCTGGCAATGGGAATCAGAGCACTCGCACGTCAACACCCGGGCCAAAAGGGCAGCGCATGAGGAGAGGCGGGGAAGAGAGGGTGCACACACACACACACACACACACTCACACACACGCACTCTTTTGGGGCGGTCGCGGCCTCGCGCGCAGCGTCGAGGCGGAGCAAGTCGCAAGGAGACATAACACCGGCGTACACACACACACACATGTTTCAAGTCGGCTGCGCGCCGTTTGTGGGCAAATATCACCAGCCCGCTAGGCGCAGGTAGTCTAGAGCGTTTCCTTTTCCAACCTCCTGACTTTCCCTGCTCGGGGGGAAGTTCACTTCCCCCCCCCCTCCCTGCGTCTGGACGGGCTCCCCCGCGAGGAGGTGGCAGAGAGTCCTTTTTGGTCCAAGATGGTTCCAAGAAGGCTTAAGATAACGCAGAATGACCTCCAAGATGGTCGAAGATAGCGGTAGATGGGTCGCCTCCAACACAAAACCAAGAGGCCGCAAAACGGCCCCAAGACGGTTTCAAGGGCCCTCCCAAGCCTCCAAGGACCCCCCCAAAAGGCGAAAACCCTTTCGGAAACCTTGGGGAAATCGATGTTGTGTGTGTTCTCACTCTTTCGCCTCCGATGGGCTCTCGAGGCCTCAAGATGGCCCCGAAACGGCCCAAGATGGCCCCAAGATGGCCCCAATACGGCTCCAATACGGCCCCAAGAGCGCACAAGAGCGCTCGCTCCAAGAGCGGCCTAAGAGGACCCCAAAAGGGCAGTTTTTAGCCTCCGAGGGGACGATGGGAATTGGAACACCCCATCTCTTTTAGCGAAAAGGCCCAGACGGGCCCGGGTGACCCCTTAGGCATCCCAAAAAAGCCCCACGAAGGCCCCCAGACCCCCCAAATGAGCCCCAAAAGGGCCCCATGACGCCCCAAAGAAGCCCCAAGAGGGCTCCAAGAAGGCCCTGGGAGGACCTCAGAAGAGCCTCGCCGCATCGAAGCACCACCGTAGTTTGCACTTATTTCCATACTAAACTTCAATGCGGGACAGTTCTTTGTGATCCTTGTTTTCTCGAAGACGGCCGCGCAACTGCATGCGCCCTGCCGCCCCTGATTCACCGCCCCCCTGCTGATCGTTCCTTTATGGGCTGGTGGGGATACTCTTGATCGCGACCGTAGCGACAAATCGCTCGGCGTCAGGTCGAAGCGAAGCTAAACGAGCAGCGGACAAAACTAGGCAATGCGCGCGCAGGAGCGAACTACGCCGCGGCCCAGAGGGCGAAGCCGACGCTGAAGAACAGGCAAGACACGCCGATGCCGACGAAGACCAAGGTGCTGGCCTCGATGCAGACCAAAATGGCGAAGCAATTGCGGGCCGTGACCACGTCCAGGAGGAGGGCCGAGACAAGTCCGGCAGCGTACGGGCCCTTCTACGCTCCGCGCGGTGGCAAGCGCGCACAGGAGAGCCGCAGGGCGGCAGCCGCCAAGGGCAGCAAGGGGGCGACGCCAAAGGCAAGCCGAGGAGCGGCAAGGCGAAGGAGGGCAACAGCTCGCGCCATACGCGGGGGAGGAGCCCAGCGGATGGTCGGCGTTGGAGCTGTCAACAACCCCGGCGCGGCGACGGGGTAGGCCACCCACGGCGGCCGAGCCGAGGGTCGATCCGTGAAGCCCTCGCCCCAGAGCGGCTCTCGCCGAGGCGAAGCCGCCCGCGGAGCGCTGGGGTAGTGTGGGGCCAGGTCCCCCCTCCCAGTCCAAGCTGGGCCAGGGTCCCGAGGCCTGGGCCGCGTGGAGCGCGGCATCTCAATCCGTCTGAGGGGAGAAATGCAGCGATGGCCCACCCGGGCTTCACGCTCTTTACGCCTTCGGCGCCACCTCTGCGCGGGCCACGCTGCGAGCCTGTCCCCCTGTTCTCCCTCGTCCCGTCTCACACGCAATGACCGCCGCCACGGGCGCAGTGGTCCAGGGGCGACACGAATGGGATCCGCGCCGCCAAACCCGCCTCTGTCAGGCGCCGGACGCGGGCCCAGTGCGGGGCCGCGAACCGGGAGATGGCTGGCACCAGACACTGGGCTTGGTGCCTGTCGGTGCACTTGCGCCCACGTCCCAGGCGGCTTCGCACTCGCCTTGCCTGGGCCGCCCGCTTCGTTTTCTGCGCTCTGCTTCTCCCTCTTCTTCTCCTCTCGGGTGCCCTGCACCCCCTTCGCGATCAGAAGTCTGCCTGCTGCGTGTCGAAGAGTTCGCCGAAGCGGCCTGGCGCTCGCCCGGAGAGGCCTCAAGGTTGCAGGCTAGTGACATTCGGTGCTGCCCTTCTGGTTTTGATTGGGATGATGGCCCATGGGCCGGCGAGCGCACATCAAGGCGCGCAGCCGTGACCGCTGCGCGCCGTGTTGCGCGGGCCCAAGCGGGCTCGCGCCGAGAGGGCGCGCGCGTGGCCGCTTTGCCAAAAGGATCATCATTATCCTTCCTCCGTCCTGGTCCTCCTCCTCCTCCTCTCTCCTCTCTCCTCTCTCCTCTTGCGTTTAGTGCACACGCGTCTGCACGTAGCTGGAGCGCCCGAAAATACCTACCAAACAGCTTCCCAGGCTGGCTGGAATGCAAGACGGCACCAGTCACGGAATTTCCCACGCTGGTTCGAGTGCCCGGAAAAGGACGAGAAAGAAGAGGAGGGGCAGAACCGTCCACCTTAGCCGTGCGGGCATTTGCGGGAGGTTGCGCGTTCGTCCCCTCCCCCATGCCCCGCCATCTTCCTGTGCACGTGCATGCGTACATATGTTTCACCATGCGCGACGGATGCTTTGTCCAGTATCAAAAGAGGAAGGAGAGAGAGGATAGGGGCAAGCTGGAAAGGCCTTGATCGGAAGAGGAGAGACGGGGAAGGACCAGAGTAAACCCCAGATGGGTCAACGATGCTGCAATACACGCTCCCGTCTCAACTCGCCTCCTCAGAAGTCTCTACAAGTATTGCGTCCCAATGCGGGAAGCGCCCCCTTGAATGACGAGCGCCTTGTGGCCTGCAGCTCAAGCGAAGATACAGGACGACACAATTCGAAAAACTGAAAACAATTGACCGGTTTTGCGAAGGATAGGCCCATCCATGTCACTGCTGCACAAAATCAAAATGCGGTCATGTGCGGGAGCCTCAGGCGAGAGCCCCGTTTGTTTAAGGAGCCGCACTCCATCCGTCGATGCAGGAGCAGAAGTTGATCACGATGGGCCCCAACTACAGCGTCAACGAGACTTTCAAGAAAGCCTGGCAGCGGCAGCAGGACCCAGTCCAAAGCCCCTTACAGCTAGAGCATTCGAACAAATTCTACGCGCACTGCTGGACCCAATCCGGAAGGACATCACAGCTATCAAAACTCACGGCTTTTCGCAGCGAGACCTACAGGAGGCACTTAGACCGAAGAAGCACGACATCGAAGACCTGACCAAGCGCATCGGGCTCTTGGGAAACAACTATTCCTCGCAACCGGCGTCCGCGAGATCAGCATCTGGAGCATCAGTCGACACCACCACGCAAAATAAGATATCGGATCTTGAACGGGAAGTTGCACTTCTTCGGAATGGTGGTAATCGATTATCTTCCAGTAGCGCGCACACTACAGACAAGAGGGATGCTGCAACAGTTGTGGGGAATGTGGATGGGCTTCTCAGTATAGAAGCGGAAATCGACCGGATGAAACAGCAACTGCAGCGACTATCAGCGCCCGTGCCCAACAACATGTACGCTAAAGGAGAGTTCAGGGAACTCTTGTTTGTTGAGTTCGATGCTGTCGATGCAAGGGATACAGCTGTCACCGCCCTTCGCAACGCTAGCATAGCGAGAAGTGGCAAAAACGCTTGGGCCACGCAAGATCGCCCTTCGTTGGTTCGTCCTGCTCCTAATGTTTGTTCCGGAGTGGAATACATGCTGACGATCACGATGAATATTGAATGCCCTATCCGCATGGACGATGCAGTACAGCCATACACCGTCAGTCGGTGGCCAACTTGCCCTCAGCGTGAACATAGAGAGATACTGTTACCAAAGAGTGGCACGCAGACTGGGGCCAATGGAAAGAATTACATGATCACCCTAAGGTTTCTGAGCTAACTTCCTCTTGCGATGGGATCGTTAGCCGGTCAGCGAATAACATCAAAGGAGGTACAAAGGGTACTTCGAAGGGGGGCAAGTAGGATCCACGGCAGGCGCTGGCTGCTTGTACCACTCGGATTTTTTCTACATCCAGCGCTGGAGCCATAACTACCCCATCAAGGTCCACTACATCACCGCTAACGTTTCCTGCTGCTGTCCTGGGGAGCACCCCTGAAGAGTCTCCCTATCCAGGGCCCCGTCACGATTAAGATCGTGCTGGAGAACGCCCGGTGCCAGAACATTCATACCCTGCTGGAGGATTCACGGAACTGGGCGAAGATAGCATTCCAGAACATATTTCAGCAGACGCTCAAGACAACGTGGTTCTTAATACACTTAGCAGGGGAACTCAAACATCGACTCGGACATGGATGAGGATACTCTCCGGACGACCCCACCCTCCCTTCTTCCACCCCTTCCCTACCCAGACGGCTGCTCCCAGACAAGTTCTGCGACGATGCATTTTGCTACATGGAACGCGCGTGGTCTCACAGATGTGAAAACTGCCGAACTCATCCTGCACATGCAGAAGAGCAACACTGATGTACTATGCCTTCACAAGACAAAGACTGCAAACGCAGACGTCTATGGTAGATGGTTACCAGATCATACTTTCTGGAGTTGACAATGCGGCGGGCGCGATTTCCACAGGAGTCGGTTGTATCATATCCCCCAGGATGCAGCCACACATAACATCGTATAAACAGATTTCTGACAGGATCGAGCTGCTAAAGATCAAGACTGGTAAAACGACACTCGGTTTATTTACGATCTACACCCCGCACAATCGAAAGCCGCTGCAAGAACGGCTTGAGTTCTACATCTCTTTGGACACCGAATATAAGCGTTGCTCTGCGAACCAGGGGAAGCTTCTCGCTGGAGATTTCAAAGCTAGACTGGGAATCCAGGGCCCTGGCGAAGACCACACCATAGGGGAGCACAGCTGGGGAAATCAGGTACTACACGAAGTGGAAATACCGAACAGAGATCTATTTCTGGAGTTCTGCAATGGAGCTGGGCTTATCGCAGCGAACACTTTCATTAACGCCCCCCTGGAGGAGAAAGTAACCTACATGGAAGCTGGTGCACTTCCAAACGGCATCATCAGAGACAAGATGTACAACGTTCTAGATGTTGTGTTATGTGAGCCATGCGCTTTGGACTGCATTCAACACTTACGGAGCCATAGATCAGCCGCGCTGGCGACGGATCACTACTTGGTAACATGCCGCATGGAAATGCCTGCCGCTGAACACCGACAAGCGCCGGCAATCAAGCAGCGCGCCCATGCCCTACGAGACGATTCCTCCCAGAAGCTATATGGGGATGCTTTCGTTGAGCATGTTCAGCAACAAGATGCTCAAGCATCTCTTGATAACTTGTGGAAGAGAGGACACCGAGCAGCTTTAGCAGCAACATCGGTGCTACCAGAGCCACGGGAGGCAAAACGGCCCTGGATCACCGAAACAACTTTGGAGCTGATTAAGAAAAGAAGTGAAGCCCGACTACGTAACGACAAAACGACTGAAAGACAATTGCTCAGAGATGTTCGCACGTCTTCAAAGCAAGACAAAACGAAATAGGTTGATGAGCAAATCGCCGACGGCAGTTGGAACATGCTGAAAAGACGTTGCCGGGTCAAGCCGCGCAAACAGGGGAAGCTGCGGAATCTGGCAGGGGAGCTTGTTGATAGCGAAAACAGGGCTGATTGCATGGCAGAGTAACTAGAACAAATTCAATGGAAAGTCCGGGTCGCGGAATTGACGGGTAACGAAGTACTGGGCCCTACTCTCAAAGTTATCGGCACGTCTTTCTCGCAGGCTCAGGTCGAAGCCGCAGTCAAGAAGCTAAAGTGGGGGAAATCAGCAGGACCCGATGACATACCAGATGAATATTGGAAGGCTGTTTCACGAAATACTGGAGGGTTGCGCTGGCTTACGGATCTCTCTGCAACGCGTGTTGGGAAGAAAAAAGCATCCCTACATAATGGAAGTGATCGGCAGTCATTTCAATATGCAAGAACAAAGGCGCAGTGGACAAATGCGAAAATTATAAACCTATCAGCTTGCTGTGCGTAGCATACAACTGATTGGCAAGTTTGCTGCTCCAGCGCCTTCAAGATGCAGGAGCTGAAGAACGCCTCACTCCTACACAATTTGGGTTCCGGCGCGGGCGCGGTACCTCAGACGCTGTACACGCAGTCCGGCGACATATCGAAGCAGCTGACACACACACACACACACACACGCACACACACACGCACCAAAAGGAATGGCATTCCTTGCGCTGGATTGGAAAAAGGCTTTCGACTCGATCAACCCGGAGGCCCTCCTAGACGCATTACGGATATTTGGTGTCCCGCAAAGGTGTCTGACGACTATTGGTAGCATTTACCAGGCGAGGCAGTTCTACGTGACCGAGGGGGGCGCGCAAATCCCAGCAACGACGCGAACTATCGGGAATCGCCCAGGGCTGCCCTCTCTCCCCGTTCTTCTTTGTCATGCTGATGACAGTGGTCATGAAAGACGCCACCAGCAGATTGGAACAGCATACCAAAGACGCACTTTCGGCGGGAGAGTTGTCCGTATTGTTATATGCAGGCGGCACGCTATTGGTGGGCCGTTGCCAACACAGACTGCAACAACTGCTGGGAGAAATCGCGGCTGCAGGCGCCAGGGTTGGTCTGGAGCTGCACTGGGACAAGTTCCAGCTGATGCGAATGAATTGCGATATACATTTACGAACCCCGGATGGCAAAGACATCGCTCCCAAAAAAGACATGGTGCACTTGGCCGCCACTCTGAACAGCAACGGGCAAATGGCATCGGAACAAAACAAAAAGCTTGGGGCGGCTTGGAAGAATGTTGCAGATATTATGGTGCATGGAAGCACACGTCAATTACTACAAACAGGAAGTTCCAGCTCTTTCAGGCTCTGATAACCACCACGATCATGTATCTCTTCAAGTCTGCCTGGCTAAGCAAATCTGAAAGACGGAGAATGGATGCGTTCCAAGCCCGGTGCCTCAGGAAGATCATGAGCATACCTCATTCATATCGATATCAAGTGTCAAACCAAACGGTTTTGGAAAAAGCACATGAAATACCTTACAGCTCGCAGCTGCTACGGCATCAACTTCTTTTGTTTGGTAATAATGGGAGAACTTGCGACGAGGACGCATTGAGAAAATTCACATTCGTGCCAGGCTCGGTCCAATCAACTACTACCACATTGCGCAGGAGACCCGGGAGACCCAGGAACGAATGGGCAAAGTGCTTGCATGATCGAAATATAACCGACTTCCGCACGGAAGGGGAATTATTGGAGTGCCTGCGCGACGGTACAAAATGGAGAGATTGTTCGTTGAACTTTACAAGCCAATGAAAGTTTGCGTGGGCCGCCCTGTTTGAGTGAGTCCCCCTGCCCGCTCTTCCCCGCCTCTCCTCTTTTCCGCCCGCACATGATGCAGTTGAACAATCAATAAACGTGCCGCTGCTCCCGCAAAGCGGAGAGTACAGGCTGGCATCGTCTCTTTTCGCCCACGCATTCCGGCGTACGGCTTGATTGACTGACTCCATCTGTTGAACTGTTCCACAATTTAGAATTCCTGGCCCTCGAAATTGGCGAAGTCTCAAGCGAGAGCCGCATTTAGAAAACAAAGCGACCTCTAGTCTTATAACTGTTGCAAGACTTGAAACGAATGTGCGCAGCAGCAGGACGGAAACCACCGGCCCCCCATCCGTGTATCTGCTGCAAGCGTTTGAAACGAATGCGCGGCGCTAAGGCGACAGCCCCATTTTGAAAACCACAGACCCTCCATGTTGTAGCTGCTGTATGGTTTAAGACGACGGCGCGCGAAACCACAAACCCTCCATCCGTGTGATTGTTGGGGTTCGCTACACCTCAGGATAACACATCCCACCAACACTTTACGGCATGGATGGAATATCGTCATCCTTCTTCCCCTCGGGGAGGAGATGACCGCCCTTTTCAAAGCGGCCCACCCTCCATCCGTGAAACTGTTGCGACGGTAAGGAAATCTCAGGCGAAACGCCAGGCCCGCCTTACCGACCGACACGTCTGGGGGGGCCGACAGGGAGGAGTCATTCCTTAAGGGAAAAGGATGGAAGTGGGGGGAGTGGAGGCAAGAGGAGAAGCCCCAGAGAGGGGGGGGGCGCGGCGGTCCTGCCGTCGCCGCTGCCAGCGCTGCCGCCTGAGGGCGCGCCGCCGTCGGCGCCTGCCGATCCGCACGGGGCCCCTCGTTTTACTCCTCCTCCTCCTCCTCATCATCATCATCATCATCAGCAGCATCATCACCACCACCATCATCATCACCATCATCATCCTCATCAGCAGCATCAGCAGCATCATCATCATCATCAGCATCATCACCATCATCAGCATCATCATCATCATCACCATCATCATCATCACCATCATCCTTCGATGCCTTTGATGCATTGCGGAAGGGCAAGCTGGTGGCCAAACCCCCACGTCTGCTCATCCAGCGAGAAGCCCAAAAAGCACACGACGAAGCAATAAGAGCACCCAGAACCGAGCGGAAGTCAGCGACTAACGAGCCAAGGCGTGCTTTATCGCACTCCAAGACCGTAGACATTGGAAAGCATACAGCAAAGCCATTGCCACCATTGACACGTACATAGCCTCGACGCCGAGAACGACCTTGGCCAGCTGGAGAACGCGCATCGAACTCCATGACCAGGCTGGAAGCCCATGGTGAGAAGCTTTGGGCCCTGCGGCCAAAAAAGACAACCCATGCCACCACAGTAACCGAAACTCTGCATCGCCGTTTCAAGGGCGCGCCACATCAAGGAAGGGGTGTGCAAACAACCGCGAATACAAGGGAATACTAGCATGAGCAGCCTCCAAACGCCGAAAGCTATGGCCGAAATGCGCTTCAGACCCTTGGGTATCACTCGGGGGCGGATCAACACCAATATGCCAGAAGACGACAATGTAGACAACAAGAATAAACAACAGCTGGCCACCAGATGATGCGAGGCAGCCTGGTTTCCCTCCGGCGTTCACACGATGACAGCAACTTGCTCGTCATCGGCGATCAAGCGAACACACCATTCGGCCGTTCAACCCCAGAGCATCCGTACAAGGAAGCGGGGCAGAAGGCTTGAGCCAGTGGTGCCTGCCACACTTGAGAACATGTCGCTTGAGTCCTCCTCCTCCTCCTCCTCGTCCTCCTCCTCCTCCTCATCATCATCATCATCATCATCATCGTCATCATCATCATCATCATAATCATCATCATCGTCGTCGTCGTCATCATCGTCATCAGCATCATCATCATCACCATCATCATCACCATCATCCTTCGATGCCTTTGATGCATTGCGGAAGGGCAAGTTGGTGGCCAACCCCCACGTCTGCTCATCCAGCGAGAAGCCCAAAAAGCACACGACGAAGCAATAAGAGCACCCAGAACCGAGCGGAAGTCAGCGACTAACGAGCCAAGGCGTGCTTTATCGCACTCCAAGACCGTAGAAATTGGAAAGCATACAGCAAAGCCTTTGCCACCATTGACACGTACATAAACAGAGCACCACCACCACCACCCCGCCCTTCTGCAGAAATGCCCTCGTGCATCCCCCCACCTGCACGTTGCAAGCTGAATGAAACAACTGCCAATCCGACCACCAACCCACGGACTGCCTAGACGCCGAAAGGGAGAACGACCTTGGCCAGTTGGAGAACGCGCATCGAACTGGAAGGGGTGTGTAAACAACCGCGAATACAGCGGAATACTAGCATGCGCAGCCTCCAAACGCCGAATGCTATTGCCGAAATGCGCTTCAGACCCTTGGGTAACACTCGGGGGCGGATCAACACCAATATGCCAGAAGACGACAATGTAGACAACAAGAATAAACAACAGCTGGCCACCAGATGATGCGAGGCAGCCTGGCTTCCCTCCGGCGTTCACACGATGACAGCAACTTGCTCGTCATCGGCGATCAAGCGAACACACCATTCGGCCGTTCAACCCCAGAGCATCCGTACAAGGAAGCGGGGCAGAAGGCTTGAGCCAATGGCGCCTGCCACACTTGAGAACATGTCGCTTGAGTCCTCCTCCTCCTCCTCCTCGTCCTCCTCCTCCTCCTCCTCCTCCTCTTCCTCCTCCTCCGCCTCCTGGCCCGTCGATGTCGAGGAGGTGGACAGCCTGTACCGCGACCTGCGGAGCCAGCTCGACATCGCCGAGCTACCCCCTCTCGACGTGGAGCAGCTGCGCGAGGTCCTGCGGGCCAAGCGTCCCAGGGCGGGCCGCGGCGCCGAGCAGATGACGCCCATGGATGTTGAGAGGATGCCCGATAGCGGTCTCGAGGAGTTGATCGCCATCCTCCACTCGGCCGAAGTGTTGCTGGTTATCGGGCGCCTGCTGGGCAAGAAGAACGGCGGCGAGCGGGTCATCGGCCTGCCCAGCATGGTCACGCGCGTGGCTCGCGAGCTCGAGGTGCGCGAGTGGTCGTCGGCGACTGCTTCCGCTTGGGACACCGCTGTCCCAGGTAACGTGGCCGTCCGCGAGGCGCTGGGCAGGGCGATCGACGAGGAGGCGTACGCAGCCTTGCGGATCAGCTACGGGCACGCAATGCTGGACATCAAGGTCTTCTACAACTCCATGGGCTGGGTTAAGCTGGGGCGGGCCGTACAGTCGGGGCATTGACCTAAGGAACCCTAAATAAGGAACGAGGCCCCTTCCTCCCATAAGTTGAACTTCGATTTCCCATGGGAAACCTCAGGAGAACCGAAGGTACACTGCAGAACAAGCAAGGAACACCGAGCCCCTCCCCAATGAAAAGGGGTCCTTCTTCAGGGCCCCGACTGTATTGCGGCTGGGCTTCCCGCCCGCCATCCTGGCCCTGGAGCTGCAGCAGTGCCTCGCCCCGTGAGTGATCGTCCGCGACGGGGCGTGTTCCCTAGCTTTCCAGCCCACGCAGCCGATCGTGCAAGGGCTGAGGTTAGGCACGAGATTCGCGAGGTGCCTCACCTATATAACATCACGGCGCAGGAATTGGCCGAGTCCCCGCGAACGCTGCCGCCCAGGCTCTGGGTCGACGGCTTGTCCGAGTCGGCCGTGGGCTCGAATCTTGCAGTTCGACGCCACTTGGGTCTTTGCGCGGCCCTCACCTGCGACAAGCTGGTGAGCTCTGGTTTGGCGGTGTCTCCCATGAGCGTGATCGTGTGCGCCACTCACCGCGACGCCGTGGCCATCACAAAGTACATCCGGCGGCGCGGCCATCAGGTGCTTGCCGTGGAGCAGGCGCCATGCCTCGGCGTCGACCTGGCTGCCGGCACCCGGCACGCGCGGGCCACGAGGGCGAGGCGGTTCGCTCAGACGGGGCGCTCCCACCTACGAGTAGGAGATTTCGCCAGGGCGTCGCACTGCTACAAGATCTGCGTCAGGATCGAGTGCCAGGCCAGAGCCCATCATGATCATACTTCACAGAGCTTCCGGCCGCGACCGCCAAGTACTTCGTCGGCGGCTTGCAGCAGTCTCCGGCGGGCCCACGCGCGGCCGGTGTCCCACGACGCAGCTGCAGTTGCGAGCAGGGCCCGCTGACCCCGCCAGGAAGCTGCCACGCGAGCTTCTCGAGGGGCGGTTCACGGCGTGGACAGCCGACCCGTCCAGGAGGCAGAGGATCAAGCAAGCGTGGAGCCCCATCCTGCAGCGTGCCCGCGACGGCGACAGCTCGCAGCGCAGCAGGTACGTGCGAGGCCCCACTTCGGCGGTACAAGTCATGCTTATGAAGTACGCTTGGCACCCTGTCGGCCCGACGGGTTGGCTCAGGTTTCTTCCCGATGGGGGTCAGGAGCGCTGGACATTTCCCGATGCTGACCTCCTCGCCGACGGGTCTGCCCAGCTCCTCATCCTGTCATTCGATGACTCCGTTGCTAGCGAGCTGTGGCGCGGCGCCTCCCAGCATTGGTGTGGTGTTGGTATAGAGGATGGGATCGACCTCTCGTCACTCCAAGGTTTCCTCGGGCCGTTGTCGGTCCTGCCTGGGGGGCACGCGCTGGAGGAGCCCATGGTTACCACTGCCGTTGGCGGCACGTGGCCCCAGGCACGATGCGTCGAGGCGGAGCTCGTGGACGGGAGCAGCAGCGATACCCTCTGCCCGCGGTGCGGGCATGACGTCGAGACCGCTTTCCACAGGCATTGGGGCTGCAGCTGCAACGCCCAGTCGGAGGCGTACCAGGCCAGCGACGAGTACGTGGCGCGGGCGTACGCCGAGGCGGACGCGCTCCCTTGCTTCTGGCTGCTCGACCTGCTCCCTAAGGCCTGGACGGCCGTCCCGGCGCCCACGCAGGAGGCCTGAGAGTACTTCGGCGTCCCCGACCTCTACATCCTGCGGGTCGGCACTCCCGAGAAGCCGCGTTTCATCTTCGGCGACGCCAGCGGCAGCCCCGAGAGTAGATTCCCTATCTGGCGTCGCGTCGGCGTCGCGATGATATCAATGAGGCAGGCTTTCTCGAAGCGACCTCGATAATCCATGGCCCCCTCCCTGGGTACCGCAAAACTCCTCCTCCTCCTCCTCCTCCTCCTCCTCCTCCTCCTCTCCTCCTCCTCCTCCTCCTCCTCCTCCTCCTCCTCCTCCTCCTCCTCCTCCTCCTCCTCTCCTCTCTCCTCCTCCCTCCTCCCTCTCCTCCTCCTCCTCCTCTCCCCTCCTCTCTCCTTTCCTCCTCCTCCTGCCTCCTCCTTCCCCTCTTCCTCCTCCTTCCCTCTTCCTTCCCCTCTTCCTCCTCCGCCTCCTCCTCCTCCTCCTCCTTCCTCCTCCTCCTCCTCCTCTTCCTCCTCCTCCTCCTCCTCCTCCTCCTCCTCCTCCTCTCCTCCTCCTCCTCTCCTCCTCCTCCTCCCCTCCTTCCGCTCTCCTCCGCCTCCTCCTCCTCCTCCTCCTCCCCTCCTCCTCTCCTCCTCCTCCTCCTCACTCCTCCTCCTCCTCCTCCTCCTTCCTCCTCCTCCTTCCTCCTCCTCCTCCGCCTCCTCCTCCTCCTCCTCCTCCCTCCTCCTCCTCCCTTCCTCCTCCTCCTCCTCTCCTCCTCCTCCTCCTCTCCTCCTCCTCCTCTCCTCCCCTCCTCCCCTCCTCCCTTCCCCTCCTCCTCCTCCTCCTCCTCCTCCTCCTCTTCTTCTTCTTCTTCTTATGTTTCTTCTTATTATGCTTAGTATTATTCTTTTTATTATTCTTATTATTATTATTCTTTTTATTA